CTGACCTCAAACTCACAGAGATCTACCTGCCTCTGCCTCCCAAGTGCTGGGATTAAAGGCGTGCACCACCACCGACCAGCTTGTGGTTTGCATTTCATAACTGGTCAGTTTTATAAAGCTGTACTGGAATCACAAGTAAGAAAGAGGTCAAGTCTCTAGTTGTCCAAGTTGGAACAGAGAGGGTTTCCAGGTTGGGAGGGACCCGCAACCCTTTCCCAGCACCCCACTGCCATAGAAGATGCCAGGACTCCTCTACTAGGTTTGAAAGTGTTTGTGTGTATGTGCAGGCCAGATAGATCAGGTGTCATTCTCAGACAGAGTACCTCACTAGGGACTCACCAATTAGACTGACTGGCCAGGAACCCCATGGATCTGGCCATTTCCATCTCCACAGCACTGGGATTACAACACACTCTACCACACATGGCTTTTTAATGACGGGTTCTGAATTCAGGTCCTCCTGCTCACACGGGCAGTCTTTTATCAACTGAGCCACCTTCTCAGCCCCAAGTAGTGTTTTCATTATTACTGTGTTCATGGGAGTGTGGACACACCCACACACAGGCCCATGGGGAGGTCAGAGGACAACTTTTGGGACTTGGCCTCCCTTTTCACCATGGGATTTGGGGATCTTCCTCAGGTCACCAGTCCCAAGGATCATGTGGTTTTACCCCTGGCCATAGGCACCAGTCTGTTGTTGTTAAAGAGCCAGTCAACAGTCAACAGACGAACCAGAACAAGCCCCCCCCCCCCCCCCCCCCCGCCAGAAATAAGGGTCTGGAGGGAGAGGCTGTGGGCGAGACAATCTGACACAACCCTCGCAGCCCCTACCTTCTCAGCCCTGGTCATCAGGCCTGTCACCATCTGCCGGCCGACCTCCCCGAAGAAGATCTGGTTGTTCCTCTCTTCTAGAAGACCCTGAAGAAAGAAGGGGGTGAGCTGGCAGCCTCCCAGAGCCCAGGAAGAGGGCAGAGTCATGGCTGGGCACAGAGTGGCCCTGTGTCCGGCAGGCCCAGCACCCTTCCCAGTGGCCCCTGCAACACACCCACCTCAAAGGCCTGCCGTACACAATGCAGCTTGGCCAGGAAGTCCTGGTCACTGTAGCAGCCCAGCAGCTCTGTCCTGAGGAGAGAACAGATGGTCTTGTGCTACCTGGTTCTGCCTAGCAAAGGCCCAATGGAGGGCAGAGTGTTCCTTGGGTGAGGAGGGGGCAAAGGTCCAACCTGGCCCTGCCTCAGCCTGGCAGTGTGAACTCTGGCTGCTGCCAGCCTCCCTCTATGTTCAATCTCTCCCCAGTCTAAGGCAGGCTGACTGGATGTTCTCTGGGGCCTCACTGGCCCTTCTGGTCCTGGGCACAGGTCCCAGTTATGGCTACGGTGCCTAGGCTGACCTCAGCCTCCTTTAGGCCACAATCAGCCATCACTGCTCCCTGGCAAAGGACCAAAATGGCCAACCAGTTCCATATGACATCTCCCTCCAAGTCACTACAGCACTCAATAGAGCTTTCTGCTGTTTTCGGTCAGTGGACTTTTAAACCGTATGATAGATAAGCCATGATCAGAAAACAAAAGTACCGAGTCCATACAACTCAGCAAGGTTCACTTAAGAGGGCAAAGAGCGGGCTGGAGAGATGGCTCAGAGGTTAAGAGCACCGACTGCTCTTCCAGAGGTCCTGAGTTCAATTCCCAGCAACCACATGGTGGCTCACCACCATCTGTAATGAGATCTGGCGCCCCTCTTCTGTATACTAAATAAATAAATAAATCTTTTAAAAAAAAAGAGGGCAAAGAGCACCACTCTCCCTGAAGACTTAAGATTTATATGTAGCAAATGCTGACGGGAAAGAAAAAGACATTTCTCTTTAGTACTGTACCCACTGATGAGGTCCACTGATGAGGTGTCCATGCTCCTGAAACAACCCTCACCCACAGTCCATGCTTCTGGAGGCAACCCTAAGGGAACTCACTGGCTCACTCACTCACGTTCATATTCTTTCTCTCTCTCTCTCTCTCTCTCTCTCTCTCTCTCTCTCTCTCTCTCTCTCTCTCACACACACACACACACACACACACACACACACACCATGAAACCATGAAAATAGAAGGTGAAGACAGAAATAGGGATTAGCAGGAAGGGGAGGAGGACAGGGGTTGACTGTGATCAAAATACACTATGTCATGAATTAAAATGTCACAATGAAACTATTATATAGAACTAATATATGCTAATAACACTTTCTTGCAGAGTGGTGGTAGCACATGACTTTAATCCCAGCACCTGAGAGGCAAAGGTGGATAGATATCTGTGAGACTGAGGTAGGCCTGGTGTACAGACTGAGTTACCGGACAGCCAGCGCTACCCAGAAAAACCACAACAAACTGGGTGTGGTGGCACATGCCTCAATCCCAGCACTCCAGAGGTGGAGGCAGGAGGATCAGAGCTTCAAGGTCATTCTCAGCTACACAGCAAGTCCAAGGCCAGCCTGGGATACAAGAATGTCAAGTTCCCTGCCCCAAAGAGAGGATTAAGAGACCCACATGTAAGCACAGAAGAGGAGAGGGAGGCCAAGAGACAAGTGGACTTCCGTCAAGGTCAAACACTAAGAAGATGGCTACAGGCCTACTTCTTTCTAAAGGTATCTCTGGTTTTCTCAGTCTCTTTCTCTGACTGTGTCTCAGGAACAGAACTCAGGTCCCGTGTAAGCTAAGTGAGTATTCTACCAAGAGAGTTATTTCCTGGTTCTGGGTTTGTGGGGTTTTTTTGCTTGTTTGTTTGGATGGTTGGTTTTTCAAGAAAGGATTCTTTGTATAACAGTCCTGGCTGTCCTGGAACTCACTTGGTAGCCCGGCTGGTCCAGAGCTCACAGAGATCGGCCTGCCTCTGCCTCTCAAGAGCTGGGATTAAAGGCGGGCGCCACCACACCTGGCCTGGGTTTGTTCTTGACCCCTGCTAAGGTGAGATGGGCCAGGCATGGCCAGTGTGAGGCACTCACTCAGCTGAGGCACATGGGCCTCTGCACGTCTCCCCCGGGGCTGGCGCACCCCACAGCCTCCATTTGCGCTCACCTGAGTGTCCGGCAGGGTACTTTCCCCTCCTTCACGAGCTGCAGCGCCTCCTCGTAGGCAGCAGCAGGCCTGGAGAGAGGGAGCGGGTAATCTCCGACCTGCAGGGACTCAAAGAGCTGGAGAGGGGCCAAGGAGAGCAGTGAGCAGCACCCCCAGAGGCCAGAGCTCTGGGCCACACCAACAGGGACCACCTGAAGGGGCCTGCCGATGGCCCATCGTGGGGATGCCAAAGACACACTAGCCGCATGAGACAGGAGGTCTAGTTCGTGTCCAGCCCAGGACCTCAGCATCCCACCTCCAGGCTCTCTCCCCAAAGGGATGGTCTACTGGACACACGCGCCCATCGTCCTGTCCCAAGCAGACACCACGCCCCTGCCCCAGCCTAGCAGCAGGCTAATGCTCAGCAAAGGACTGTGTGTAAGATTAGAGAAGCTAGAGCTGGGTATGCTCTGGAGTCCCAGGGGGAAGGGGACACCCATGCTCTGACTGCAGATCCACAACCCCTGGCTTTTCAGGCCTCCTGACCCGCACTGGAGAGTCTCTAGGAAGCAGGGCTTGGTTCTCGCCTAAGAAAATAACCTTACTTCCCCACGACCTAGTGCTGGCCCAGAAGGCCTGGCCCAACCCAACTTGGTTCCCCATGCCAATCACCTCAGTGGCTGAGAAGAAGGAGTCTTCCGAGGTCAGGCTGTCCTCGTCATCGGCCCGCAGACGCAGTGAGCCCTCAGTCAGGGGCAGCATGAGGGTCCTCTCTGGAAGGGAGCAGGACCGGGCTGAGACCCATGGTGCTGCGGGAATACTGGCCCACAGCACTGACACCCAGACCTCCAGAGGCTTTGTCTGGGGCAGGCAGATGTGGGCAGAGGTCACAAAGCTTCCCTGAGCCATCAACACCCATTCTGTTGCTCTCTGTGGCCCTGCCTAGTGAGTGCTTCCTTTCTTGGTTTTTGGTTTGGTTTGGTTTTCTGAGATAGGGTTTCTCTGTGTAGCCCTGGCTGTCTTAGAACTCACTCTGTAGTAGGCTGGCCTCGAACTCAGAGGTCCTCCTGTCTCGGCCTCCCCGTGGGATGAGTCGAGCACCACCACAGCCCGATTTGCTATTTCCCTTTCTAAAAGGCTGAAACTGCCATAAGGGCATCCACAGGGCAACCATCCACCGTTCCCTCATCGGCCACTTAGGAAAAGTGTGTCAAATAAATAGAGGCCACAGACCTGATGGTGGTCACCTTGAAGGCTCTATCAACTTCAGTTATAGAGGAAGATCCAAGGGAACAGGGTTTTTCCAGTAGGCAAAGCCACACTGAGGCCAATGCCCAGATGCCAGGGAGGATGTGGCCTGCAGAACTGGCCAGGCCTTTTTGGACCCCAGTTGTTCCCACAGGGCTCAGTGCACTCTGGGAAAGGCCAGACCACAGCAGACATGAGAAGGATACTGGACATCGGGCTGAGCAAGCTGGTTCCCTCTCTGTGTTCACATCCCTTCACCTCCACCAAGTGACAAAGAACTTGTCTGTTTGTGGCTCTCAGCCTGCTTTTGGCTAACTACCAAGTGAACGCAAAGGCCTGAGACCTGTCCGGAGATACAGACACACAGTCCAAGGGTGCTCCCAAGAGGCCAGGCATGACACACTAACTGAGGACTCCTTCAGCCTCATCTTGCTTCAGTGTCTATCTGCCATCTTTAAGGGAATACCTCAGTTTCCCTATTTGTTCAATGAGGACCTGGGAACTGTGATTTGTCTGCAGCACTGGGGAACCAAGCCCGGCTCTCTCGCTTTGTCCCCGACCTCTGTTCCTGGCCCCGCAGGCCTGCAGCAGCCTGCGTGCTCCTGCTCACCGAGGTCCAGCAGCATGCTGTCGGAGGGGAAGGTGGAGCCGAACTCCTCCTGCAGGTGGTAGGCCTGGTGCAGCAGGGACTCCAGCTTCTCGGCAAACTCCCTCCGTTGCGACTCTGGCTATGACACAAACAATGACCTTCAACCTGGAGCTCCAAGCTCCCCTCTCAGATAGGGCCCCGAGGAAATGACGCTGGCTCTGGGTCCGAACGAGAAACTCCACAACCGTGCCACCCAGCAGAAGAGGCGCCACCACATATGCCTAAGGCCCAGTGTCATGGGTGTATCATGGGTGTAAACACACACACACACCCTGATGCCAGAGGTGCGATCTCAGCGGGAATGGCATCGTCGGGTACACCTGTAAGCCTGGACCCTATAGGCAAAACCAGGAAAATCTCAGGTTTGAGGCCAATGTGGGACATTAGTGAGTTCCAGGCAGCCAGGACTACCCAGCAAGACCCTGTCTCAAAAAAGAAAACAGAAAATCGTACCATGATGAGATGGCTCAGTGGTTCAGTTAGACTGCATACTGGTCTTGCAGCAGACCCACGTTCACTCCCTACCACCTGAACTGACATGGTGCTGGAGACTGAGCACTTCAGGGCTTCCTGCATGCTGGGTAAGTGCCCTACCAGCCAAGCTGTACCCTCAGCCTCTCCTACTGCCTTTTTGCTTGGTTGGTTGGTTGGTTGGTTGGTTGGTGGACTGGCTGAACATGTTTCCTAGAAAACACTGTGTCTCTAGGTGACCCAAGACTGTCTCTGGATTGGAGACCCCTCCCCCGCTGCACACCACCACCCAGAGTTCGGATCCTATGTACGTAGGCAAGCCTTTCAAGGTTTGGTCCTATAAGGGACTGAAAAGGTGTCACCTTGTCAAGAGGGTTCCTAGGACTCGGGAGATAGGTGCACACAGTAGCAGCTGTCGCTAAAAAGGGACAATCCACCACTACATGAGTGTGGTGCCTGCAGGTGACAAGCTGGACGGCAAAGGACTGGCTGTCCAGAGAGGGCACAGGTGGCGGGGAACGCTTGCAGGGAGGCACAAGCAGGGCATCAGCTAGAGGCAGAGGGTGGGAGCTGGTGTGGGGGCACCGCCTGCCATCTCTGTGACCGTGTTAACACCCGTGACCTCCAGCTCCAGGCATGGGAAGTGGGGTGCTCCCTTCCACCCTGGGGCTCTTGGGTTTGGGGCCCTGGGTGAGGCAAGAGTTAGCCTAACTACTCTCTCCATGGAGGTGGAGGCAACCAGAGTAGAGACTGTTGCTATAGTAACCAGGGCCCAGGGAGCAGACAGATGAGGGCCAATTAAGCCTGAGAAAGGGCCTGACGAGCTGCGAGGCAGCCATGAGTGAGGGCTTACCCTGGACCTTGCTGTTCGGACTCAAAGCATCTCTCTGGGGCAGAGTTTCACAGAGAAGACTTACGGTGGTTAAGTGGCCCAGGGTGACCAGCTAAAATATGACAAGAGAGAGACCTGCACCAGACCTACAGGATTCTGGGCCACGGGCCCCTCTGCTGGGTTGCTGGCAAAGCCTGTCTGGAGGATCATCAAAACGTCTGTTAGCTCTCTCTCTGGGAATAACCGTGGGTGGGTTAAAGCTGCACACAGAACACAGAAGCTCAACCAACTTAAGAAAAGCAGACACCATGAATTTCAGAATTAAAAAAAAGAAATGTTTCTGTTTTGAGACAAGGTCTCATGTAGACCAGACTGGCCTCAAATTTACTATGTAACCTTAAACTCTGATCCTCCTGCCTCCACCTCCCTGCTGGGATTGCTGGCATATTTCTGGCTTATGTGGATGGAACCCAGAGCTTGTATAGCAAGTCTTTCTCTGTCCAGCCAGCTCCCAAATAATGACATGGAGACTTATTAATTATGAAAGCCTGGCCTATAGCTTAGGCTTGTTCCTAACTAGTTCTTAAAACTTAAATTAACCCATTTATATTAATCTGTGTTCTATCACGTGGCCTTGCCTCTCCTCCATCTTGCACCTCTATTTCCTCTGTGTCTTCTGGCATCTCCTGTGTGCCTCAATTCTCCTCCTCTTCCTTTCTCTCCCTGGAAATCCCACCTATGTCTTCTGCCTAGCTATTGGCTGTTCAGCTTTTTATTACATCAATCACAGCAAATACATCTTCACACAGTGTACAAATATCCCACAATAGGCTTGGTGTATAGCGAGCAAGCACTCTATCAGCTAAGCTTCACCTCTAGCCCTGGAATTTAAAATGGTCTCATAGCTGGGCGGTGGTGGTGCACACTTTTAATCCCAGCACTCGGGAGGCAGAGCCAGGCGGATCTCTGTGAGTTTGAGGCCAGCCTGGTCTACAGAGCGAGATCCAGGATAGGCACCAAAACTACACAGAGAAACCCTGTCTCGAAAAATAAATGAATGAATGAATGAATGAATAAAATTGTCCAGTGTGTTTCAATGGATGCCATCAACAATGCGAAAACTTTATGGGCAAGGTGGCACACACTTTTAATTCTAGCACTTGGGAGGCAGAGGCAGGTGAATCTCTGTGAGTTCAAGGCCAGCCTGCTCTACAGAGCTAACTTCAGGGCAGAAGCCAGGGATATGTAGAGAGACCCTGTCTCAAAGAAAACAAAACAAAAAGAACGTGAAAATTCACAGGACGGAAGATCCCTGTAAGTCATAGATCTGAAAACAGAACTGAACCTAGAACATACAAGGGACATTCACACTCGATTAAATCCAAAGATTGAAGACAACCGGCATGCTTGTAGAACATACAAGAGACGTTCACACTCGACAGCAGCATCGTAAGATTAAAAAACAACCGGCGTGTTGTAATCCAACACACAGGAACCAGAAAAGACATTTCTCTAAAGGAAACACACAGATGGGGACCAGCAACATTGCTCAGCAGATAAAGGTGCTTGCCCACGAGCCTGAGTTCAAGCCCCAGGACCCACACGACAGAGGTGGAGAATCAACTCCTGCAAGTTGTCTTCAGACCTCCACATGTGCACCACGCCTCCCCACAAACCCCAACAAGAGGAATAAAGACTTTAACACATGTGCAGATGGCAAACAGCACACGAAAAGCCAGGCACCATCAGCAAAGGAATGCAGATCAAAGCCGGAGCACACAGGGCTGGGGGAGGAGGTGAGGAAATGTGGGCGTGAGTGTTAAAGTATGTAGGGATTTATGAAGTGACCAAGACTTCAAATATATACTAAAAACCACTGAGCTGCATAATGTGAGTGAGTGAACTATAACAACACAGGAATACTGTTCAACCCAGCCGTTAAAAATGTTAACACAGGCCGGGTGGTGGTGGTGCACACCTTCAATCCCAGCAAGTAGAGGCAGAGGCAAGTGGATCTCTGTGAGTTCAAGGCCAGCCTGCTCTACAAAGCAAGTTTCAGGACAGCCAGGGCTATACAAAGAAACCCTGTTTCCAAACACAAACAAACAAACAAAAGTTAACATGGGTTGAATGGATGGTTCAGGAGTTAGGAGGGCTGGCTGCTCTTACAGAGGACCCAGGCTCTGTTTGTTCCCAGCACCACACAGTGGCTCACAACCATGTGTAACCTGTTCCAGGGGATCTGACCCCTTTTCTACCTTGGTTGGTAACAGGCACACATGTGCTAAACATACATACACATAGGCAAAATACTCAAACACATAATGTAAAATAAATAAATCTAAAATAACAAGTTGGGCGGTGGTGGCTCACGCCTTTAATCCCAGCACTCGGGAGGCAGAGGCAGGTCCCTGTGAGTTCGAGGCCAGCCCAGTCAACAAAGCAAGTTCCAGGAAAGGTGCAAAGCTACACAGAGAAACCCTGTCTCGGGACAACCAAACAACAACAACAACAAAAAGGATGGCAAGCCAGTGAGATACCTCAGCAGGTAAAAGTGCTTACCTCCAAGGCTGACAATCTGAGTTCAATTCCCAGGCCCTACACGGTGGAAAGACAAGTGTAATTCCTGTAGGTTGTCTTCTGACCACTTTGGCAGATGCCACACACACACACACACACACACACACACACACACACACACAAATAATATAATTTAAAAAAAACTTTGCCGGGCGGTGGTGGCGCACGCCTTTAATCCCAGCACTCGGGAGGCAGAGGCAGGCGGATCTCTGTGAGTTCGAGGCTAGCCTGGGCTAAAGAGTTCCAGAAAAGGCTCCAAAGCTACACAGAGAAACCTTGTCTCAAAACAAAAAAAAACAAACAAATAAAAAAAAAACCCCACACAAAAAACAAACAAAAAATGCTGGTGTACTGCTTGGTTTTGTGAGTCAACTTGTCACAAGCTAGAGTCGTTGTCATCAGAAAGAAAAGAGCCTCAGGTGAGAAACACCTCCATGAGATCCAGATGTAAGGCATTTTCTCAATCAGGAATCAACGTGGAAGGACCCAGCCCATGATGGGTAATGCCATCCCTGGGCTGGTGGCCCTGGGTTCTATAAGAAAGCAGGCTGAGCAAGCCATGAGGAGAAAGCCAGTAAGCAGCCCCCCTCCAGGCCTCTGCATCAGCTCCTACCTCTGGGTTCCTGTCCTGACTTCCTTCGATGATGAACAGACTTGTGGAAGCTAAGCCAGATAAACCCTTTCCTCCCCAACTTGCTCTTTGGTCATGGTGTTTCATCACAGCAACAGAAACACTAACTAAGACAGCTGGCAAGATGGCTCTGTGGGTAAAGGCACTTGTCACCAAGCTTTGATGACCTGGGTTTGATTCCCAGGACCCACAAATTGGAAGGAGAAACAACTCCCACATGATCTCTCCATGCACATCACAGCATGCTGGCACACACACATACACACAAATAAATAATGCAAAAAACCCCAAACCAAAAATGCTGTAACTAGGTGTGGTGGCTCACACCGTTAATCCCAGCACTTGGAGGCAGATGCTGATAGACCTCTGTGAGTTCGAGGCCAGCCTGGTCTACACTGAGAGTTCTAGCCCAGCTACGACTACTGGTGATAGCCTGTCTTACGCACACACAGATGTAACCAGAGTGGTAAATGCAGTGGAGAACCAATGCCACGTCCCTCCTCCTTCTCCTCCTCCTCCTCCTCCTCCTCCCCCTCCTCCTCCTCCCTAACAAACAGCTGTGGGTGCCATCATCTGCCCACACAGGAACAGTAAGAGTCTATGGCATGTGGGGTTCTCAGCTTTGCACCCCACTGTGTCCATGACTTCTGAGTGACAGGTGTCTGAGCCCAACTTTCCGCTTGGGCAACAGAAGTGCACCTTTACCTGCAACTGTCTGTGCCTGCAGGCACCACCCAACCCCACACTGCAGGCACCACCCACTCTTACAGAGCACATTGTTTTCCAGGCACCCAATCAAGCTGGTTGCATTCTGGGGAGGTGCAAAGATGGCTAGAATAGAGGAGACACAACCCCTACCAGCCAGACTCACAGTGGTTCCAGCTGCCACAAGGTGGTCCTGACCTGCACTCTGAGTACACACATCCCAGGTATCCCCTCACCTGAGCAACCAAGTCCCTGTGAAATTCCCCTGGGTTGGTTTATTTGGTTTGAGACAGGGTCTCGGTCTGAAACCCAAGTTGACCCAGAACTCACTCTGTACCTCAAGCTGGTCTGGAACTTTCTGTGACCTTCTGACTGCCTCCCCAGTACTGGGTGTGAGCCACCACACCCAGGCTCCCTCAGATTTCTAATGTCTAAGGCTACTGCCATTTCCTGACTGGTTCCCGACATCCTGGGGCTCCCCAAGAGGAGCCCCCACCTGATCTTGCTCAGGCAGAGAACAGGAACCTGGGGGCCTTGGGGCTGCATAAAGAATAAAACAACAATGGCCCACAATATTGCTACCCACACAAGCCAATGCCAAGCACATGTGCTCAAAGCGATCAAACCCAGGGCTGAGGCACAGCCCTTGTGCAAGGCTCTCGGTTTAATTCCAGTTTTTTGAGTTTTGTCTTTTTAAACCAACAGAAGAGAAAGGCATCGACAATGTCAGTAAAACGAAAGCCTCTTCACCTTTCTCTCCAGAACTCTCCACACCCAACTACCAACTAAGTCCTGCACTCCGCCTGCCCACACACCGGTGTAGTACTGCCCACACATGGTGAACGGACACCCTGGCAGGGGACGCGCTGCAGTAGATGAAGCACTTGCCACACAAGCATGAGGACCAGAGCTGGGGTCCCCGGAACTAACGTTAAGCTGGATACAGTGCGTGCATCCTAGGGGCAGACACAGGAGAATTCCCTGAAGCTGCCTGGAGCACAGTGAATTAGACACCCTATCTTAGACAAGACAGAAGGCAAGGGCCAACACCTCTGACCTCCACACATGCACCTTGGTGAGCACATTCACATACACAAAGATAAATGAATGAATGAATGAATGAATGAATGAATGAATGAATGAATGAATGAGTGAATGAAGTAGTGGCACACACCTTTAATCCCAGCACTTGGGAGGCAGAGGCATCTCTGTGAGTTCAAGGCCAGCCTGGGCTACAGAGTGAGTTCCAGGACAACCATAGCAACATAGAAAGATCATGTCTCAAAAAATGCCAGAAAAAAATGGGGGGATAGGGACAAGAGAGATGCTCAGCAGTTAAGAGCACTGGCTGCTCTTGCAGAGGACCCAGGTTTGGTTCCCAGCACCCATTTGGTGGCTCCTAACTGTAACTCCAGTTCCAGGGAATCCAACACCCTCTCCTGGACTTTGTGGGCACCAACATGGTACAAAGACATGCATGCAGGGAAACACACACTAAAAAAATAAAGTCTTACAAATAAATAAATTATGGAATTATAATAAAAAATTTGAGTGGTGTTCCCCAAAATCATAAACATAATCCAAAGGCCCCAGAATCCAGCCAACTAGTAACAGAGACCCACTTCCCACAGTCTTGCTCAGCACACCCACCCTCCCCCAAACGGAGCTGAGAAGGGTCTGACTACCAACATGGGACTTGTTTACCAAGCTCTCACCAAATCGCCCGGCACTGAGCACACTGCTCACTCTCCGTGGGGCTTTCATGGCTGAGAGACTAGCGAATGCCTGCGGGAGAGGTCACCCGGGAGTCAGTCTGTCCCACCCTGCCAAGCTTCTTGCATGGTGACCGGGGCAGACCACCTACCTCTGACGGCGCCTCTGACGCGGTGTCTGGGTTCTGGACGCTGTCCGCCGGGGTGGGGGCGCCGCCTCCATCCCCCCTCTGGCCTACACTCAGAGCCTGCTCCCATTTCTGCAGAGCCTCCTCAAAGAGCTCCATGCCTGAGAACACGAGAGGCAGGAGAGAGGGTCACAGTCTCACCCTCGAGGGGATGAGGCGCAGCAGGAGGCAAAGGCCAGGGCAGGACCAGAACTGGGCAGGGCCGTCCAGCCCGGCAGTGACTTCTTGCAGGCTGGTCAGTATCCAGGCCTTCTCCAGGCAGGTCTGTCTGCTGACCAGAAAGGGCCGCAAAGGAATGACGGGGGACGTGGGGGCGGGGCAGGAACTGAAGAAGTGACTTGCCCTGCCCAGACTCCTAGAGGGCCATTTCCCCCGCCACACTGTCACCCACCCCAGGCCCTGGGCTAGCCTCCCAGTCGAACCTTGTACATAGAGGCTCTCGGCACTGCCATCTGTGGTAGGCACAGACTCCTCCATCCCTCTGGTTTCCCAGGAACCTGAGCACGCAGCTGTGGGGCTGGATGAATTGACCACTACCATCTGGGGACCAAGTATACGGATAAGAAGTGAGGCCCTTTGTGGGACCCTCTAGGCCCACCCCACTGCATGACCACAGGCCACAGGCCCTCCTAGGTGCCTCCCCTGAGTGAGCGAGGCCAGCACCCACATCCTCAGAACAGCCTGATGAGACCCCACCTTGTTTCGGGGCCTCTCAACCCCAAGAGTGGCCTCTACCTTACTCCAGACTTGAGGGCAAGGGCATCACCAGGGCAGAGCCAGAGCCGGGCTTAGAGCTCCGGCCTGGTCCTTGCTGAATGATTTACAACATAGTCAATGCCCCTGAAGCTGAGCTCCAGTGAAAGTGTCCACCTTTGTCTCCTTTACCTCCACCCTCAGCACCCAGCCCCGCCATGGACGCCCTCCAGGCACTCGCTCAATGTCTGATGCCCAAGCTTCCCGATAAGCTCCCTGTCTGGCACCTACACATCTATCTCTGAGTGGTCCTCCAACCATCATCCACAGAGAAGCCCGGATTCATGGATGAGGGTGTGAAGGAACGAGAGGGACCTCTCTCTCATCTCCCTAACAGGCTTCCTCAGGGCAGAGTCCAAGAATGTCCTGGTGGCACCTCCCCCCCGCCACACACACACACCCTGCCCTGGCTCCTCACCGAGGCCAGGCTGTGGGAGGAGCCTGAGTGTTTGCTGGGCTCGATGGAGGAGATGCCGCTCAGAGTGTCGTTGCTCTTGCTACTGGGGCTCTGAACCCTCCGGCTGGAGTAGCCTGTGAAGAGAAGGGTGGACCTTGCAGGCCTCCTCCACCTGACCACCCTCCCCACCCTCATCTTTCTGATGACCTGACCTCCAACACCAAGACACCAGCAGATCTCCCTAGTGTGGACACAGCAGAGGACTGAGGCCCTTCCTGTGGCCTGCTGACTTAACACAGGGCCAGGCCCATAGGAGGGCTCCAAATGCTGGGACAAGAGCGAGGCGGGCCTCTTCCCTACCTCTTGCTCAGTTTGCCTGTGAGCTTGATTGAGTGACTGATAAAGAACTCTCTTTCCCAGCTGGCACAGCAGGTAAGGGCACTTGCTGCCAGGCCGACAGCCTGGTTCAGTCCTCGATGGAAGGAGAGAACCAACTCCTGAAAAGTTGTCTTCTGACCTACACACACCCACCATGGCACACACCCTCCCCCCAGAGTAAACAATGTAAAAATACTACGGGGCCAGGCCATAACTCAGTTAGAGGGCTGGATGCCCAGCATGCAGGAGGCCCTGGGTTTGCCCTTCAGCACCGCATAAATGGGGCATGGCAGCCACAGGCACTCAGGAGGTGCAGGTGAGAGGGTGGGAAGTTCAAGGTCAGACTGGGAAGATGGCTCAACGGGTAAAGCATTTGCCACACAAGCGTGAAGACCTGAGTTCAAATCCCCAGACCCCATGTAAAGCCAGGTACAGTAGTAGCCCATGTCTGTAATCCCAGCATTCCTATGGAGAGATGGGAGCAAAGACCAGAGAAGCCCAGAAGCCCAAGGACAGCTAGCCTGTGCATGCAGTTGTGAAAACAAAGGATTCCATCGCAAACAGGGCGCAAGGTAAAGAGCTACACCTGAGACTGGGTGCCACACTTGCCTTGGGATGAAGCTCACACTTAGCCACAAATGCACTTGCACACATACACAGAACACATGTACACACAAATTAAACAAACAAACCAATAGGCAGAGCATAAAAACAAGCTCAAGGTTATTCTCAGCTACACGGTATGTTTGAGGCAGTCAAGGCTACATGAACCTGTCTCAAGGGGGTGGGGGATGGTGTTGGGAGGTGGTTCAGTGGTTAAGAGCACTGTCTGCTCTTCCAGAGGACCTGGGTTCAGTTCCCAGCACCCACGTCGGGGTTTACAAGTGGCTGTAAGTCCAGTTCCAGAGGCCTCTGTGGTGCCTCTTCTGGCCTCTCTGGGCACCAGGCATACACTGACCGCTAGTCACCACACTAGCCTTGGAATGAGAGAGCTCACCCTCACTCACAAACACACTTGCACACACACACAGAAAACACATGTACACACAAATTAAACAAACAAAAAACAGGTACCTAGAGATAAAACACTCATACACAAAAAATAATAATAAAAGACCGAAAAAGAATTTTCTTTCCAAAATGAGAGATGAACGCACGCGCACACACACTTCGAGAGAGAGAGAGAAACAGGACTGGGGTGCAGCTCATGAGAAGAATATACTAAACACACACGGCACTGAAGGGGGGGAGGGAGAAAAAGGGTGAAATCAAAATGGAGGCGGTGGTGCCAGGCACGCAGGTAGACCCTGTGCGGGGCACGGCACCGGCTTCCCAGGGCCAGTGTAGGCCAGCAGGGCCGTCCTTGCTTCTCAAGGTCCAGTTCTGCAGCTGTCACGACAGAGTTAGCATTTGCAAGGACAATTGACTACTGAAACTCACTGCACTGGGCTGAAGTCAGGCCCTGCTTCACACAGACGGGCTGGAGGGGCGGCTCGGTGGTTAAGGGCGTTTACTGCTCTTGCAGAGAACCCGGGTTTTCTTCCCAGGCCTCACATGGTGGCTCCCACCATCTCTAACTCGAGTCCCAGGTGGCCCGGTGCCCTCTTCTGACCTCCACTGGCACAGAGTGGACATGCATACAGGCAGGCAAAGCACTCAGACACACAGACACACAGACCTTAAACAACAACGGGCTTGGGAAGCCAGCTCAGCAGGTACAGGTGCTCGCCACCCCCTGATGACCTGAGTTCGATCCCTGGGACCATGGCTGGCAGGAGAGAACCCGCTCCCACAAGCTGTCCTCTGCCTGCCTCGTGTACAACAAATAAATACATAAGCACGTAAATAAATAAAGCAATTCTGAAACCTCATTTTCCTTGTCTTTCTTGACTTTTCTTATTTACTTCAGTTTTTGAGACAAAATCTCAGTCGTCTGTAGCTCACAGTAGCCTTAAACTGTGCATCCTCCTGCTTCAGCTTCCAGTGCTAGGGTTACAGGCACACACTATCACACCCGGCTTTAAATCTGTTTTCCAAGACGGAAAACTGTCTCCCGAGCTGAGAACCCATGAGAACACTTTGGAAGAAGAGCAACTCGACATTGACACGTGGCGAACAGCTACTCACAAGGTTGCCAGGGGATGACGAGTTTTCTAGGGCCGGGCGGTAGTGGCGCACGCCTTTAATCCCAGCGCTCGGGAGGCAGAGCCAGGGAGATCTCTGTGAGTTCGAGGTCAGCCTGGTCTACAGAGCGAGATCCAGAACAGGCACCAAACTACACAGAGAAACCCTGTCTCAGAAAAGAAAAAGAAAAAAAAAAAAGAGTTTTCTAGGGCCAGCAAGATGGTGCAGTGGACAAGGGCACTTTGCTGCTGAATCTGATGATCTGAGTTGAGCCCAGAACTCACATTGTGGAAGGAGGAGAGAACTTACTTCTACAAGCTGTCCTCTGACCTCCACATGTACACTATGGCACACACCTACACACATGTATACACACACCTACACACATGTATACACACACCTACACACGTGTATACACACACACAAACACCAAAATACATTTTTAATAAGTTTTCCCATAGTGACTTGGTTCTATGATGGTACCATCTGAAAGCTCAGCACACACTAAAAGGGTGAATTTTACCACATCAAATCCTTTTTCCCCCCAAAAAGAATTCAAGAAACACTATTGGGCTCATGAAGCTCGTGGCTCTTCCTATTTCTGAGCACGGAGAAACTGACAGACCTGGGCCCTGACCTGGTGTCTCCTAAGGTGACAAAGACATCCAGAACTTATAACACCCACCAAGACTGAGCCCAGGGTCTCAAAGAATGGTTCTATCATTCCTACTTGGGAGAACATGGCGTGAGGCAGGAAGGCACTAGCCCAAGACCCCACAGGGAACAACACTGAAACGTGACAATGTCAGGGCTCCTCTACCACACACCTACCTTTCTTCACTGAAGGGACCTTGCGGGCCATGAGGATGGGCAGGGGTACTGTGCCCAGCTGCTCACCTCCCATCTCAGGGCCCACCTGCTTCTTCTTCCGTCGACGTCTCTTCAGCTGGTGGGCAGCCAGGGCCAAGGCCACAGTCCCAAGGGCTGTGGCAAAAAGAACCTTCCTCAGGCCTGGTGTCAACCGCAGTTGGGAGAAGGCAGACTGGAGGAAAGAGACAGAGGCCTGGTTATGTCACCGAAAGGGAAGCTGTAGGTGTGGGCACAGTGTCCCTCTGCTGATCAGAGTGACGAGGGGCACTGAAAAGGAAATCAGGCCAGCGCCTCCAAAATGTGAACCAGAATAGAACGAGAGCACAGTGCATCACTGAGGACATGAGAACTGGGATCTGGGACTCAGTGTGCCCCCACGCTGCTGGTCACCATTTGTGCCAGCAAGGGTACAGTGCCAGGCACTGCACCAGGGCCTGACCTGTGTCACCTGTCAGAATCCCTGCCCCTTTCAAATGAGGAGCCTGAGGCTCACAGCGGTTAAGACATGTGGAGATGGTGACCAACACACAGCTCAAACCCAGATGTAACAGCTCCATTTCCCCATGACATCTGGAGCTGATGACACTCACTGTCCCAGACCACTCCATCCAAACAGGCTCATCCTGGTCACCCTCTGCTGCTGGCCAAGGTGGAACTCTGCCCCACAAAAGAAAGCTTTTGGGGTGTCAAGGATTTAGTCAGCACTCCCATCAACAAACTAAAGTCAAGGGGTCACCTAGCCTTAGAGTAAAGACTGGGCTTAGAGCCCCAACTGTTGTTGTTTTTTAAATACTTTATTTATTTATTATGTATACAGTGTTCTGTCTGCACATAACCCTGCATGCCAGAAGAGGGCACCAGATCTCATGACAGATGGTTGTAAACCACCATGTGGTTGCTGGGAATTGAACTCAGGACCTCTGGAAGAGCAGCCAGTGCTCTTAATCTCTGAGCCATCTGTCCAGCACCAAGGAAGATCCATCCTAATTGTGGAGGGGACTACTACTGGGCAGGGCAAGTTACCCTGTATAAAATGGAGAAAGCACTAATAAACATGCATCTGTCAGTCTGTTTCCTGAGTACAGTGTGATAACCAGCTTCCTGCTTCTGCTGCCCAGCCTTCCACCTGCTGGACGACAGCCCACTGGAACTACAAGCCCAATCCCCTCTTCCTCCCCTCAGCTGCTTTAGTCCAGACATTCCATCACAGCAACGAGAAATTAACTAAGACACACAGTATAGCCATGAAAGGACTCAGCTCTCCCAGGTGCTGAGGACCCCCGACAGGCCACACCCATCTCACCTGACCAAACGTCGTGTACAGGAACACGGGTATCTCAGCCACCGTCATGGCTAGAGCCTGGATCATGGACATACCCTCAGTCCGACGGAACGCCATGGCAGGTCTAGCACCCAAGGAGGGAACTCTGGGGGTAAGAGCTTCCAAGGAGAACGTCTTCAACTGGTCTCTGGCTGGGCCCTGGGCACCATCCACACGCCAGCAGGACAGGGGCACACATAACAGGTCCTTCCACAGAGCTGAGGGACAGATGACCAAGTGAGACACAGGAAGGTGCACACAGGGCTGGGGCTGAGTGGTAGAGTGCTCACCTCCCCATGTTCAATACCCAAGCCTGCCAAGAAGCTTTGGGGCACTGAGATAACTAAGCAGGTAAAAGAACTTGCTGAGCAAGCCTGACAACCAACTGAGTTCCCCAGAACCGTGGTTGAATGTGCTGTTAGCCTGACAAGTCTAAAATTACCTGGGTGGTGGGTTTCTGAGCATATCCATGAGGAACTAACTATGTTAATTAAGGTGGGAGACCCTTCCACAGTGTGGCACCGGTCTCTAGGCTCGGGCCATGGACTTCGGAAACGCGTACATGCATTCTTTGCCCTCTGCCTCTGAACTGTGTATGTAATGTGAGCAGGCGTCATGAGATCCTGTCGTTGTGACTTTCTCCCATGGACTGTCACCCGGAACAAGTCAAAACACCCTTTCCCCCCTGAGATGCCTTTGCCAGGGTATTTTATCACAGCAACAGAAATCAAATCAGACACGAGAGGAGAGAACCGTCTCCCAAAAGCTGTTCTCCAGCTTCCACATGCGCCTGTGGCAGGTGCTTCTGCACTCACATACACATAGTTATGTATGTGTATGTATGTGTATCCGCCACATGCGTGCAGGTGCCTGCAGAGGTCACAGAGGGCACTGCATACGGGAGCTGGAGTTACAGGCAGTTGTGAACCATGTGATGTGGGTGCTGAGAACTGAACTCAGGTCCTCTGGAAAAGAAGCAGGCACACTTAACCACTGAGCCATCTTCCCAGCTCCAAAGAAAAATGTTTTAAACTCAGCCTGGTAGTCCACACCTTTAATCCCAGCACTTGGAAGGCAGAGGCAGGAGGATCTCTGTGAGTTTGAAGAAAGTCTAGTCTACAGAGTTCCAGGACAGGTAGGACTGTTAACACAGAGAAATCTTGTGTTAAAAAAAAGAAAAAAAAGTTTTAAGATCAACAGCTGCTCTTCTAGAAGACCCAGGTTCAATTCCCACCATCCACAAGGTGGCTCACAGCTATCTATGACTCTGGTTCCAGGAGATCCATTACCCTCTTCTGACCTAGCCTCCATGGGTGCCAGGCATGAATATAGTACACAGACAAACATTTAGACAAAACACAAAATATTTTTTAAAAGTTTGCCAGGTGTGGTGGCGCAGACCTTTAATCCAGAGGCAGGCAGTTCTATGTGAGTTCGAGGCTAGCCTGGTCTACAGAGCAAGTTCCAGGACAGCCTAGGCTACACAGAAAAACCGCCTCAAAACACAAAAGCAAAAAAACCTGGGGTTTAGAAAACACTCCCCCCATACACACTAAAAAAAAAAATTTTTTTTTTTTAAAAAGGTGTACACATGAGCAAAAAAGAGATGTAAACAAGAGTGTCCTCAGGGGTTGGTCACCTCACTAAGGCTTATAATCCCAGCTGCTCAGGACACTGAGGCAGAAGGATCAAAAGTTCAAAGAGTGACTGGACAATTTAGGCACATCCTGACTCAATTTTTTTTTAAAGCACTGGTCTAGCATTTGGTGGGGGGAGGGGGGAGCACAGTGTCTTTAGTGGGTAAGATGAACACCAGGTGGGCATCTGGAATCCCAGGCCCCAGCCCGCCCCACAGGCAGGCAAGCAACCATGTACAGACACCTCAACAAGCCTGGGAGCTGAAGGCAGCATGTGTGGCATGCTGGCTGCAGAAAGAACAGAGACTGGGAGATAAATAGGTCACCCTCTAACTTAGGGCCTTCTGCACTTTCTCAGCCTTTTTAAACACACAGGCCATTTTCTAAATAAAGTTCTCAGGCTCCCAGCTGAGAACCATGACATCCGTTTCACAAAGCCAGGAATGCTTCACTTCCTGTGGGCTAAAGGTTTTTTCTGATCTGGTTGTTGTTGGTGGTGGGCTTTTTGTTTGTTTGCTTTGTTTTTATTTATATTTATTTTTGAGACAGAGTCTCAAACCGTAGCACAGGCTGGCCTTGAATTCAAGATACTTCTCTTGCTTTGGTCTCACAAGCGCTGAGTTTAGTGTCATGAGCCAACTGAATCATAACCATATGGGCAGATGTTTCTCCCTGCCTTCCCCCATCTTCTGACAAAGAAACTGAGTCTCCGGAGCTGAAGCCAGGAGTCTAAAGCAACCCGCCTGCTAAGTGGTGGAGAGAGGGTACTTCAAGGTCTAGATTCTGCTTAACGAAGCAGGAGCGGGCAGTGCAGCCCCAGCAGAGCCACAGAGGACAAAGACAGCCTTCTCTGAGTCTCCAAAACCCACCTCAGGGGCTCCCACTGCTCTATCCTGAGGCCAGATCAGTGGACTGATCACATATAACCGAGACTCCAAGACCCCGAAGGGTGCTCCCACTGCTATGATCAAGTTCAAGGGTGACTCCTGGGCTCTCCAGAGAAAGGAACATACAGACAGACCCTGTCTTCCTGGGATGGTGGCCAAAAGTCACTAGGCCAGCACAAGAGATGAAGAAGGAACAGCTTATCCTTGGTGAGTGGGGAGTGCACACAGCCCTATCAGGCTGGCCCTGAAGCTGGAGGGTGGGTGGAGCAGAGGGCAGAGGGCGGAGGGCGGAGGGCGGAGGGCAGAGGGAGGAGGGCGGGCAAGCAGAGTGAGTAGGGCCAAAAACATTACCACACTGTCAAGGGCAGGAGACATTCTGCCTGGAGGTTGTGAGGCGAGCTACAATTCAGTCGCTCCTCTAAACCTCCAGCCTGGCTTGGCCTTGGTGGGAGACAAGGACATGGATGACGAGGAGTCACTCACTCTTCTGTGCTTTCAACAGGCCAGTGCACTAGCTCTCTGTGACAAACTCTAAGTGCAGTTCTCTCAGGACTGTCAAGGGAACCATCATTTACTACAAGGATATACAAACCGAGGCCCCAAGGCTGTGGTAGAGCGTCCTAGCTCCTGCCTGCTGCTTTGCCCATATCAAACCTGAAGGGCTTCAGGGTCTTGAACTTCTGAGAAAGCCACATGGAATTAGAAGTGAGCCTGCTCTAGGACGGAGGCAGGTGGAGGTGGGGGTGGAGGCCTGTCATGTCTGTAGGAGAGTCCAGTTAGTGCTGGCTGTGCCCATCAAGAGAAAGATCACTTCACAGAAAGGAAGGGTCCAGCTCAGCACCACCACATCCGATCTGCCTCTCACTTCTAATGCTGGCCCTGCGCGGGGAGCCAGCCGCCTCTTCTGCTCTGCATTCTTGAGCAGGCAGGGTGTCTGCTCCTCCACCATGGCACCTTAGGCCTGATATCCCGGCTGGCTTTCCATCCCAGGACCTCCTCTCTTGTGCAAGACAACCCTCCTAATGCCTCTGGCCTGAGCGTTCTCTCGTCCCACCTTGACCTACCTAGCTATGGTACCAGACCAGTCAGCCCTAAGCTACCTCATGTCCTGTCTTTCCCATCCTGGGACATCTCTGTGGGATCCCACGCAGCCTGATATTGGGCATCCCCAGAATGGACATCAGCAACATCCCAAGCTCCAGCACCTGCTCCTTGCGGAGCCAGGGCAGAGACCTCCCTCTCTGGCCTCGACCTCCCCAGAACATCCTTGAGGTTCATCCGCACACAGCGCTGCCCACAGCCGGCACGCCTGCTCCTTCCAGGCCAGGAAGTACCCGCGACCCTGCTTGGATGCCCGGGGCGTTCCAGGCCCGGGAGTCTCCTCTCTGACCCAGCTGCCTTCTCGTTCCACCCCCGGAGCCAGGCATCCTCTCGCGCGCCTGGTCCCGGGGACCCACTCATCCCACCTTGGACACCTTAGCGGACAAGCTGGGCCGCGGACCCCTGCGTGGGCCGGGCTCCGTGCTCCGCCAGCCTCGCTCCTGACCCCTGCTCCGCTGCTCGCCCGCGTAGTGACCGCCACTCACCCGGGATCCCATCGCTGCGGAAGGGCAGCGTCTCCTTTCCCAGCCGCAACGCAACCAAACCAGGCGGCTGTGAGGCCGAGGGGGCGTGGCTTCGCCGCGGCCCGACTCTGCTAGGACCAACGAACGTCTCCAGATCGCTCCGCGCCGCCGTGGCTCTTGGCCAATGGGGCGGGCTACGTGTCCACGTCGGCCCCGCCCCTCCCGTCCCCCGGCCCGCCCCCTAAGTGTGGTTGCGGTGTGGACATGGCCTCTTCTCTCTTCCGATTGGCCACCAGGATTAGATGGACACGGGAGAGTGGGGCGGGACCCCTCAAAAGGGCGGTGAAGCTGTGGCTGCTTGAGGCTTTCTGGGCGACTGCTGGTGTAGCCTTCACTACGCCCGGGGACTAGTGAGAGCCAGCTTGCAAAGGCCGCGGTTTCAGGCTTCCCCGGCACGCCCCTTCATCCCTTGCGGTCTCTTCCTTGTTCTGCACACCGGATCCCTGGCGTTGTTGTCGCTGGGATGGGCTCTGCTTACCTCTGCAGCCCCTTTTTTGTTTTTTGGAAACAAGGGTTTCTAAAGGATCCATGCTTTGGAGACTGACAGATACCCGTCGTCCCGGCACCCTGCCCCTCGCCTTTTTTTGTTTTGATTTGAATTTCTCTGAATTCGCTCTGTAGACCAGGCTGGCTTCAAACTCAAGAGATCTAACTGCCTCTGCCTCCCAAGTGCTGGAATCAAAGGTGTGTGCCACCGCCAACGGCCCCTATTTATTTGTTTTAAGAACATGGTTTCATGTAGTTTAGGCTAGCCTTGAACTCATTTTGTAGCTGAGGAAGTGTGTTTGAGTCTCCGGATCCTCTTGCCTACATCTCCAATGTACTGGGGTTACATGTGCCACCTTGCAGTTTTATAGATGCTAGGGATGGAACTCTGGGCTTAACTCACTGTAGCCAGTGATGACCTTGAATTCTTTTTTGTTTGTTTGTTTTGTTTTGTTTTTTGAGACAGGGTTTCCCTGTGTAGCCATGGCTGTCCTGGAACTCACTCTGTAGACCAGGCTGGCCTTGAACTCAGAGATCCAACTAGCTGCCTCTGTCTCTCAAGTGCTGGGATAAAAGTGTGCACCACTGCCCTGCTTGATCTTGAATTATTGATCCTCTTGCCTCCAATCTCCCAAAGTGCTGAGATTACAAGTACGTAAAACATTGCCCAGCAACATCCAAATTCTCTGTAGTAAATATTTATTGTTTTAATATCAAGAAAGAAAATAGTGAACACTTTTGTAAAAGGTGCATGTAGTGCCTGCATAGGCTAGAAGAGGCTGCCCCCACTCTCCAACGGAGTTACAGCTGTTTGTGAGGCACTATGGGGGTGCTGGAAATTGAACCCAGCTCTGTGCAAGAGCAATACACTGGACTTAACAGCTGAGCCATCTCTCTAGCCTCCAGTGACTGATCCTTTTTCAGTCAATGTGAGTTACTGAATGAAGGAATGAATATTTGTAAGTGGCTCTTACAGGACAGGGCTGGAGTCTCTCTAAATGGTCACTGTTGCCAGCTACAGAGAGATACTGGTAAGTAAGTGCACAATCAAGATGAACATAGTTTATGCAAGACAGTGAACACAGACACTCGGGCCTGTGGAGTACTTGTGGGTAGTGACAGCATTGGCAGAGATGTCACAAAGAGTAAGCCACTGAACTGGTTAATGAAACTCCACATGCCTGGGCCCCACCTGCTTTTACAACACTACCCAGATGCAGGAACCAGTGCCAGGTGACTCAGGTTCACCCCGTACAGACAGAAGAACAAAACAAGAAGGTACCAGCTGAGGAACAGTTCTGGGTGAAAGGCCAGATTTGCCAGGCTTGGTGGTGCACGCCTTTAATCCCAGCACTGGGAAATCAGAGGCAGGTAAATCTCTGTGAGTTCGAGGCCAGCTTCGTCTACATAGCAAGTTCCAGGCCAGCCAGAGAGACATAGTGAGACCCTGCCTCCAAAAAAAGAAAAGGAAAGGAAGAAAAGACTCGAAGGTTGGAGAGAGAGCTCAGTAGAGAAAGCACCTGGTGCTTTTTCAAAAGACATAGGTTAGGCTTGGTTCCAGCACCTGCATCAGACAACTCACAGTGGTCTGGAACTCCAGTCTTGGAGGACCAGACACCCAATTCTGGCCACCTCAGGCATTGTGAAGAGGCCTAACGTTAGTGCAGCCATGACAGGCTGCAAACTAATACTAGAACTAGGCCTCACCGTTACAATAACCAGGAAAAGCCACAAACTGTACCTTGCAGGTGACGAATCAGACTTGAGACAAAAAAAAAAAAATACTAAATGCTCTAGAACATTAAAGATAGCTTACATAATCTGTATACAGATTGCCAATTTCCTTGCCGCAACGCCAGTACCAATCCCTGTCTGACAAGACTTCTGTTGCCCAACTCCTGTCCAATCAGGAATTCAACCCCCATCTGAATCTGGACCTCCCCTACCCATCCCATCCTTTACTCTTTAAAAACCCTGCCTCAAATGAGCTCTAGGCTCTCCCTGACCCAACTGCTGTGTCGGAACAGAGAGCCCAAGCGTGAGCTTGCAATAAAGGCTCTTTGCTTTTGCATACGAACTCCAGATTCCTGGTGATCTCTGGAGGGGGCTCATGACTCAGCATAACAACTGCACACATGATACACAGACAAACACGCAGGCAAAACACCCATAAACATAAAAGAATACTAAAAACTAATAAAAATAAACCCTTTTTAAAAGATGGAGCTTTGAATTAGTAGCAAGAGCAGATGGAGACAACATACCAAGCCCCGTTTCCCAAGCCACAGGGAAAGCAGTGGAGGCAGGAGTGTCCGCAGGGCATACTCTTGCCTCCTGGGGGCTGTGAGGAACTGGATTCAAGGTCAGGGCACACCCAGTTTCTCCCCCTGGCAGAGGCACCAACTTAGCCCTGCCAAGGAGGATGTCTGTACTTTTCACACTCGGGGCTCCAGGCCTTGGCTTGAGAACCCTCTACCCTGTGAGCTCTCTTACACCCGCCCCTCACCCAGATGAAGAAACAAGGGGGCTTGTCCTTAGTTTAGGTGCCCTGTAGTGTCACCAAAGTCTAGGGCAAAAGAGAGAAGCACTTTGGTCCATAGAAGCGGAGTCCCAGAGAAAGAGAAGATAGGGAATTGGGAGAGGGTCTCCCTGGACTAGAGCCGGGGTCAGGTGAGGAGGAAGAGTGACAGAGAGGAACAGTAGAGGGCTAGCAGAGGGACTCGGGGACACTGGAACCAGCAGAGACAAGGCTCATATCAGAGGCCTGTCACACAGCTGCAGGACGACAGCTAATCAGATGTCTGTTTGTTTTGTTTTGTGTTTTTGAGACAGGGTTTCTCTGTGTAGCCCTGGCTGTCCTGGAACTCACTCTGTAGACCAGGCTGGCCTCAAACTCAGAGATTCATCTGACTCTGCCCAAGTACTGGGCTTAAACGTGTGTGCCACCACCACCCTGAAACTAATCAGATTTGACACGTTTTAAAACTGCTAAAGAGCCAGATAGTGGTGTTGCATGCCTTTAATCCCAGCACTTGGGAGGTAGGTAGGCAGATCTTTGTGAGTTCAAGGCTGACCAGATCTGTAGAGCTAGTTCCAGGACAGCCAGGGCTACACAGGGAAACCCTGTTTCAAAAACAAACAAACAAATAAATCCCCTATAGAGGACGACCTGGAATATTTGAATTGTAGGCAGAAAATCCGAAGATGAGGGAGGTGATGGTAAGTGAGCTGATTTCATTATTCCACTGGGTAAACACACACTCACCTGTAATTCTGTACAGGCTGCATACACAGTGTGTGGCTGGGAGTGGCAACCCTTGACTGTAATTCCAACTGGAAGGTGGAAAGTCCAAGGCCATCTTTGACTGTAGATTATTATTTTTTTTTAAGACTTATTTATTTATTATGTATACAGCATGTATGACTGCAGGCCAGAAGAGGGCACCAGATCTCATTACAGATGGTTGTGAGCC